GCGGAAAAAGATTTCATTGTGTTTTGCATAATTTAAACAGGCAGTACTTCTCTATGGACCTCCTGGCACCGGAAAGACATTGTTAGCTAGAGCAATCGCTAGCAATACCAATTCGACTTTTTTGACGGTTAGAGACTTTACATAACTAATCGGTTTTTTGTCGTTGGCTACACTAAATTTTAGAAGAATTTGGTGTTTCTATAGGTTGTTTCTAGCGCGATTGTAAGCAAGTACATGGGAGATAGTCAATTGTTAGTGAGAGAAATGTTTAAATATGCTCGTGATCATCAAGTAAGAGCCTTTTTATTTGCTTAATTCCTCTTCTGATTAATCTGTACTAGTTCATGAAATGCTAAGCTTGTTTATTTATCTTCTGGTTAAAAAGCCTTGTATCATCTTTATGGATGAGATTGATGCTATTGGTAGACGTCGATGCAACCAAGGAGAAGTAGAAACTAGTGACTGTGATAGAATCCTCATCGAGCTTCTCTCTCAGCTTGATGGATTCAATGAACTTGATAAGGTATCTTCTGTCTCTTCTTCTTGCATCTTGTAGCTAGTTTTGATGAACATGCATGTATGAATTCATGAATTTTGTTGTTTAGGTGAAAGTAATATTTGCAACAAACAGACCTGATGTTCTTGACCCTGCGCTTGTTCGACCTGGTAGAATCGATAAGAAGATAGAGGTTCCATTGCCTAATCAAGATTCTAGATTGAGAATTCTTAAGATTCATGCTTCTGGTATAACTAAACAAGGAGAGATTGATTACGAAAGTGTCGCGAAACTATCTGAGGTTCGTCACCACATATACATTTGTCTTTGTGTGTTTGTTTGAAGCCACAAAAAACAGAACAAAAATTTTCTTTTGTAGGGATTCAATGGAGCAGATATGTGTAACATATGTACCGAAGCAGGGATGTTAGCTCTGCGTGCAAAGCGTGATTACGTTGTAACTAACGATTTCATCAAGGTAAGTAAGTTTCTGCTTATTGTTATGATGTATTGATTTGTTGCAATCTTTCTCATCTTATGATCAAACCAAAAACAATTTGTTTCAGGCTGTAAGAAAACTAGGCGAAGCGAAGAAACTGGAGTCCAGTGCACAGTACAACTAATGCTGATCAGAAAGAGCAGCGATATAAACATAAAGACGAAGGGATAGATCGAGTTTAGATGGCGGGAACCTCTGGTTCTGTTTTTTAAGTCAGTTTGAATCATCATTAGCTTCTCTCTGCATTGATTCATCAGAGGAATCTCCAAACTCTTCTCTGTACATCTCTTCAATCATCGGTTTCCAGAGTCGAACTCGAGCATTTATAAACCAATTCGATACCTTTGACCAGTAACAACACACACAAAAATGATCTCAATCAGAATCTTTATGATACCAAAAATTTTGAATTAGAAAATGTAGAATCAGATTTAGAGAGGAAGGTACTTGGTTCTTGGAAAGCCCTGTTTGAGACGCCAACATCAACTTCTCCTCGTCATTCGGATATCTGTTTCATTACAATACTCAAAATGTTATTTCTCCAACATATCTTCTGTTGTTAAATAACTTAAGCAGCAAGAAAACTAACGGATGCAAGAAATGTTGAAAGAGCCAAGCTCGAAGAATCGCAACGGAAGTTTCAGGCAAGCCTCTGATTGGTTTCCAAGCATGTCTTTGTGGTCCTTGAACCAAACCTAGACGTTGAAGCGATGATGAAGTGTTCCTCTCGAACAAGCTGAGCTGTGATAAACCAGAGCTGATGATCTTGGGAACATCTTGAGAGATGGTGAGTCTTCTACGAAGAGAGTTGATCTGAGAGATTATAGCTTCTTGGAGACAACCGAAATGTCGAGTCATGGCTTGAAGAGCTAAACCGGTGTATACTTTGGATGATCCTTCTCCTGCTATTTCCTCAAATGATGTAATCACTTGCTCCATTTCATTGCAATACTTGTCAAATCTTTCCTCTACCTGTCGAAAACCGGAGGAAGTAAACCGGATAAAATGTTGAAACAAAATTATGGGATAATCAGACTATTGTTTCAAAAGAAAACATGTCACTTTGTTTTAAATTAAAAGGTTTAAGAATTGAAGTTTTAGGGATTTTGTGTTTAGGGTTTAAAAACACCAAGATTAGAGTGACTGACCTGTTGCAACAAACCGAGAAGCTTGGTGATTTTGATATGTAGCTCATGATTCTCAGGCAAAGACATGAAACCTGACTTACATAGTTCGGATTTGATTTCAGAGGACAAACCAAAACCGGATCTTCTCCTTCCTGGAAACAATTGTTGGATAAGAATGTCGTTGCAAAGGTCAACTTCTCTACCACCGATATCGATAACTTCTTCTACAAGGCAACGCACTGCCTTAACGCATCTTGAATCCAACGAAATGGATGAACATTCGTGTGAAACCCTAAACTCTTCCATCTTCTTCTACTTGGAGCAAGAAAATAAGATAAGAACAGAAATGAAAATATAAGCTTTGTAGGCACTTTTATCTTTACTCTTTTCTC